CACTACTTTTAATCTATGCAAAGAAATATATTTCTTCAATGACAATATTTTGTTTCAATTGACAATTTTTCGATCGAATATGCATATTTTGCGTATTTATTCCGTTTCATTATTTGCGCATTAAGAAACTTTAGTTGATCGTGTTTTAACGAATTTACCAACAGTTGCATGATTCAAAGATACAGGTAGAAATTATATATTCGGCAGGATTGACCATGTCCTTCTTTCTTTCCAGTCATGAAACTACAATTTAATGCTATGGCCTGGCAAACGTGGCGACGTAATAGATACATGTATGTACCATGTGCGTATACAGAACCCGAACAGTCCTCTTATTTTTATTCGCCGGTCCTTGACTCGATTTTTGGATCGTTGTAATAAATACAGGCTGATCGATAAGTTCAAGGTTCGCGGCATGGCCGAACCAAAACCTCGCACATTTGTCAGCTCGCTAAACGCTCCCCTTTCACGTATAATTTAAAACGCGCCGCACGTTTTTCTCGTTTACGCAAGATTAAATGATGCAATGAAGCGCAAGAACCATTTTTTCAAAATGCACGTTATTTATGATAAATTTATAATTTAGATGAAAAAATCAAATAATCATATATATATATATATATATATGTGTGTGTGTATCGCATATATATTCACTCGTAGCTTTAAAGTTTATTTCTGTAGCCCTTTATCTGTTCTTTTCATATATGTATCGCGTTGCATAATGATTTGCATTGTTGTGATAGTTTTCGTGAAATCCCTCGGCTATTATAAATGTACTCCATTCCATAAAATTTCATACGTTTGCACGCAACAAACTTAAAAATCGATACTGCTCGCATGGAATTGTTTTGCTAGAAAGTCATTGACCGAGAAACTAGCGCAAAAAAATAGCATTGCATTTCTAATTCAGACCAAGAGCCAAACCATAAATTCTATAATTGGCAATGATCATTCGTGAGAGCACATAAATATCGCAAAATGATCTCGTCAATTTATAATCGATTATTAATTTTATATTATATAATTAATAATTTTTAATTTTATATTAATTTAATTTTATATTATTATATGTCTATAGCTTAAATCGTGTCTAATCTAATTAATTATTTGCTATTTAAATGAAGTTTATTAAGTACGTGAAAATTTAAACTATATTAAAAACGAACTATATTCAAAAATTGAGAATCTTTTTAAGTTCAAGATTCAATGCAAACAAAAAAAAAATTGTATGACACGTTTAAATTTTCTCTCACTGCTATAATAATGTAATCAACTTAAATTTAGCAACTTTGTGTATAATCGCTTGTTCATTATGAAATTCCGATATCGTATAACGTACTAAAATTAACATATTTCACATACTTGCGAGGCCACGCGATCGATCATCACTTTAATTAAATCTCACCATTCTTCGCGCGCGATTTGCAACGTCGACAAATTAACGAATCTTTCCGCAAGTCAACATGCTGAACATGCACGTGACACAAGTATCCGTCGATCGTCGCACGCGCAACACGTAATTCTCAGTACGAGATGATCACAACACAAAGAGACTCACTATAAGACACCCGTGAAAAGCTCACATGGCAGACATACTCACGCGCCCATTAGAGGAAGCAGGTTCGTGCCATGGGCAAGTCCTGTCCCTGACCTCCCGAGGTCGTTTTAAGGTAAAACGGCCACCTCGCCGAGGAAAGCTCCCTCGTAAGCGCCCCGATTTCTTCAGTCAGATTTACAGGAGACGGTGAATCTTCACTGAACAACGTGGCGTCGATCGCGCTGCCTCGAAGCAACGTGCTGGTCGGCGCAGGGCGGATGTAAACAAGGAGCCCCCGAGCTTGCGCCCTGCCCGGAAGCAGCCGGTCGCTCTTCCCGTCCTTCTTGGCGGACGACTTCTTCGTCTCTCTTTCCACCCTCTCTTCCTCTTATCCTTTCCTCTCGTGCTCACGCGTATTGCTACGCGGGTTCTGATGGCCGGACTCGCGTGTGCGTATACAACTCGATTCGATCTCGGCGTGCCGGCCGGTTGGAGGATCCTGTCTCTCTTCTAGCACGCCTGTGATGTTGCGCGGTCGCCCATGGCGGTGTAATGGCGACGCTCAGTTGGTTATGGGGGTCGCCGCGCGCGCGAAGCCACCCCCATGCAATGTGGAAAGGCGATCAATACCCGCAGCTCCCGCGATTCCCGCTTTTCCACCCCGTGGACGGTTCCTCTGTCCCCTTCGTAGGTACTGGTCGCTGTGTCTACGTCCGTCGGTGATAACACTGACGCTTTTAGTTGATGGTAGTGGTGATGATGGTCGTTGTTGCGTCGAAACTGCCGCGCTCCACGTACGATGAACGGAGGCATCAGGGTTATTACAGGTGAAATGGTAGGGTTAATTCGCGCGCGCCGAAGAGAAGAATCGCGCGCGGTCTTTGTTCTTTTTCGCAATCGAAAAGCTTTAAGCGTGCGCTTTTGGAAAGTGCGAATTAAGTACCGGACAAAAAAAACGCGTTGCAGCAAAAATTTATTCTCATTTTCATTATAATAGCAATTATATCGCAATAATAATAAAATATTTTTGAATACACATAATATTTTACACAAATAGCATCAAACGATAATATAAATATCATATTGCGTATATCGTATTGATTAAATATCAAATCTATTAAGTAATTAAATATTATTGTATTAATTATAATGATGTTTATTTAAATTTCTCAACGTCTTCCGTTATTACGCTGAGAAGCCTAAGCTGATTGAGAAGCCAGTCTGCCGGGTATATTGATTTTATATATTACGACTTAAACTGCTCTGTGTAGCGATGACTGCGGGGTTATATTGCGGGGTTTGACTAAAATGCACCCTCTTTCGAATGCTCGGAACCTGGCAACGCCGACGAGGGGTAGATTTAGCCGGTAATTACGAATATTCTCCCCACGAGCGATTCATCGGGCCGCCTGGATGGTCTAAACGAGAGATCGCGATGCTTCACCAACGCATATAACGGAGAATATTGTTATTTCTTTATCCTTGCTGATCGGTTTTCACGAAACATGAATATTCTCGCGCTCCTTATTCTCTTTTGCTCTGCGATGGAGTCGAATCGAGAGGATCGCGGTGATGTTATAACGAGGTTAATTTGCAAGCGAAAGTAGGGTAAACTTTTTACACAATATCTACCTCCTGGAATCGACTGACAATCTATTTTTATTGTTACGAGACAGTATAATCAAAGTCTTTAGCTAAAGCGCTCAGAATTTCCCTTCTATTAGTTATTTTTTATCGAAGAAGAAATGTATTAATCACGTAGCTGCGAGAAGAACTTCTTGATTTATTACTTTCTCATTAATCAGCACAAAATAACGATGTCGTCAATTAGCACCTTTAATCGTTTATTTATATAACTGTTACTCCTCTATTTTCAAAGATCAATTATACGTACGCAACAAGTAAATACCACTTCTATTTTCTACCGGATGCCCTTATAAACATCGACGCGCGTTCCCGATCTTTGTATTTTTCGTGTAGGAGGCGAACTGATCGTACGTATATCGTGTAGGATGGCTGCGAAAACCGAGAACGAGCAACACACCCACGCAGCGGCAGCCTGTGAACAAACATTGGGCATTAAGTCGGGCGCACGAGGGTCGTTCCGTTCGCACGCTCTCTTATGCAACGATCCTCTCACGTGCCGCGATAAAAACGGCCTCCGTACACGCGGCGCATCCAGCTCTCGCAGACCCGATTCACTCTGCCTTTTTGCAGCTCTCGTGGATTCACCCGGGATTTCCATTGCCATTGATAATTTAATACATCTTGAAATTAAGATAACAATCGAGAATTTAGGTATTGTGTGCTGCAAAGTGTTCTTTAATCGAGTTAAAGAGATGCCGTATATTTGAAAACAATTTCAATAATGTCAATTTTAATTACAAATTAACGAGACGATAATTGGCATTAGGTGATATTTATATTTTTGCGAATTAAGTAAAGTACTTTTAATCGATCGAGTTTACACTCGGCGATGGAATAATTAAGGGCACGTACTCCATTTGACAATTTAATTAATTATGTCTCAAGAGCACTCAGGGGAGCGTTCCTGTTACATCAGCAGCATGTTCAATATGAAATACTCGCAATTATCCTCTCCACGTGTGTCACTATTTTTATAAATATAACAACATGAAATTAATTTTGTCAATTTTCATTATGCCGACAATTATTACGATAGAATACATAAACAATCACGCAATATGCTACTCAAACTACATTTTATTATTAACAATGTAATTAAAATTAGCGTTTCATTATTATTAATTTCGCGAAAACGCGATTTATCAAATATTAAGATATTCATTTAAAAAAGCACATGTATAAAAATGTCAATATATGTAAAATAATTTCTAATATATTTTTAACGTTAAATAGCAAAATTAAAAGTATAAATGCTGGAATTGTAACAGATGTAATAAAATTACTACATAATTATAATTTATCGTCAGGCTTATCAAGTAAATTGATAATACCTTCTTGAATTCGCGTGAAACGCATTGATTCCGCAAAGTGAAAGTCGCGATGCGGATCTCGTTTTCCATTAGATTCAATTTGAGGGTCGGTTACCGGATGACCTTGGACCCGAGGAAGGCCTACCTCGAGATCAAGAGATCGCGAACATATAGTCGCGGAATCGATTCTAAAATCGCAAGTATTTAGGTCGGCTTGATCGCTCGGCCACGATTCCTCGCTATCTGAATTATTCGCCGTCGTCCCGTTGCATTGATTGCTTATCACAGTACGAGGCAAACTTTACATTATGTAGAAAGTTTGATTTTAGATGTCTATGATTGAAACTTCATCTCGGCGAACTTACTTTCATCCATTATTCAGCAAACATAATAGAAATGTGGTTTATTAATTTGATTTGTTGAATTGTTTTTATTCTCTAATAACAAAAATTAATATTACGATGACGGGGATGTAATCGTGCGCAATAATAAAAAGAAGCGTTTCGTTTATTGCGGACGAGTGTATTGCAATTCGTAAGGTACAAATAGTACAAAGGGTATAAGAGTACAAACATTGCGTAGGAACTAGATTATGCGGACATAGAAAAAGTACAGTTTAGAAATGTGATATAGTAAAGAGAGAATCCCTTTCCTCTACTCGTTTTCCTCTTATATCACTCGCGAATGCGAATTGCGTTCTTTCGTAATTTCGCCCTGATTTTCGTCTTTTTACGGAGAAGACTTATACCGAGATCCGTAAATGCGTCAACGATGTGCACGAGAGAAATCTATCCGGAAGAATAGGACGAATTTCCAGCAAGAGATTTACTCTTGCGACATTGGAAGTGAAATGTAAATTGGTATTTAAATAATTAAACTCTCCAACAGTTAAATCTAAACAATCATTTAATATTCTTTAAAGTTTTGTTTTGTTATTTAAATATTCGTCTTGTACCTATCACTTGTTTCGTGATATTCTAGCTGCTCTATTTAGGAGTCATAGGCAAAGAAGTGAAGGAGAGAGAAGAAACATGAGATCTCGGCATGAGTCTTTGGGACTTTCAATAAACGTAACATGTCGCGCGTAAATTCTATATATATATATGTCAGATATTACAATAAATATTATAATAGAACAACGTAATAATAAATATATTTATATCTTGTATATATAAATATGTGTATATATATATATTATATATATATATATATGCTATAGGAAGAAACATGTCGACACAACTAGCGCTAAACACCGAGAGAATTTCGCTCTTTTATTGTATATTCTCCTCCATTTATTTACAACCGCCTTAGAGAAACTATATCTTACAAAAAATCGACTGCGCACCGACCGGATAACTATAATTCGCAACGGCGATAATCGATATATCAAAGCTTCTAGCACGAAACACGTATTACCTATAAACGCTTGTACATATTTCCAACTCTCCAACAGTTAAATCTAAACAATCATTTAATATTCTTTAAAGTTTTGTTTTGTTGTTTCAATATTTGTCTTGTACCTATCACTTGTTTCGTGATATTCTAGCTGCTCTATTTAGGAGTCATAGGCAAAGAAGTGAAGGAGAGAGAAGAAACATGAGATCTCGGCATGAGTCTTTGGGACTTTCAATAAACGTAACATGTCGCGCGTAAATTCTATATATATATATGTCAGATATTACAATAAATATTATAATAGAACAACGTAATAATAAATATATTTATATCTTGTATATATAAATATGTGTATATATATATATTATATATATATATATATGCTATAGGAAGAAACATGTCGACACAACTAGCGCTAAACACCGAGAGAATTTCGCTCTTTTATTGTATATTCTCCTCCATTTATTTACAACCGCCTTAGAGAAACTATATCTTACAAAAAATCGACTGCGCACCGACCGGATAACTATAATTCGCAACGGCGATAATCGATATATCAAAGCTTCTAGCACGAAACACGTATTACCTATAAACGCTTGTACATATTTCCGATCTCCTTAGACTTTCCCTCCTTTCTCCGTATCTTTTTTTTTTTCTCTCGTCTCATGTACAAGGCCACACACATACACTTGCATACATACACACACGCGTACCCGTACGTGATCACGTCTCAATTTGTTCGTTCGCATCTGTGATCCTCTCATCATCACATCTGTAAGTTAAGCATCAAAAGAGACTCGAGTAGGTCGCTTCTAGTTTCGAGATCGCGCTTTTGATCGTAATCGATCTTTTGATCCCCTTTATCTCTCTTTTATCAGAGTTCGGACAGCACTCTTCTCGACGGATTTAAGGCTTAATGATATGATCAACCGTTGTACTGTTGTATCTTCTACTTCGAACGCGTCTTCATTTTCTTTTGTCTCTCTATCTAGCCCTGAAAATTACACGAGTATCTGCGACAGACATTCGTCCATCGATTTGAATCCTGATCACCTTCCTGAACCCGATGTAAAATTAGTTTCTCTTGATAATACAAATCCAACGCCGACAATAAAATATCCATGTACTATAATCGTAACAGCAGTACTAATTATTTTCGTCTCTACGAATTGATTTCTACGATAGTAATAATGTGTGCAAAATTATATTTCTCTTGTGCGTACATCTTTTCAGGTATAAAATGGCTAAAGTTTTCAAATTTCTGTGTGTGCGTGTTTTCTTTTAGAATATTTAATATCTATATGAAATTCTTTTGTCTCGAATTATTCATGGAGGGCATACGAAGTGCTCTAAAATAGCAAATTCACGGTGCAAGTATCGATTTCGAGTCGGATAAATAAAGAACCGAGAGATGTGCGTGTTACATTGTCATTATTAGAATATTTCTAATTAATTACGGTATTTGTTTGTCAGTTAGAAAGATAATTTTGTTTGTTACGAAAATATCTGCGAATAATATCAGTGTACTGCGATATTATCACTTATTCTATTGTACTCGTAATTTCTGTATCTCCCGCCGCTATTTTAATTCCCCAACCATCTGCATGGACGATTGCTGTTTAAACTGCAGTTTGTACTACGTGGAAGACGGATATCCGTGAGAGTATTCGAATGCCATGAATTACGAGCGTCGGAACGAACGTGTTATAGCCAGACGACTCGGGTCGAAGTGGATCAGGATTTATGCTCGGTCCATCTCGACCGCTCTCTTAACGTTCGTTTCAGTCTTATGAGAGAGAGAGAGAGAGGAAATTCTTTACGTCCTTCTCACTCGTCACTCGGAATAGATAGAAAAATTTATCGAACGATTTATCGAAGATTCATTGTTCCCTTAAAGGCCGAGGAAAGGCCTACGCCAGCCGCTTCGACCAGATTGTTTCTAAGAAAAATCTAGTCCTTTCTATTTCTAACGCGTGTGCATTTTGTCATCTAAGAATCGTGCGTTTTAGACATCTGAATGAGCGCTAATTTAAATGTACATATAATAAAAATCATGATTATTGATGTTTCTTCGCGGACTTTCTACATCGTATCTATTGATCGATTAAATCAATGAGCGCTAATTTAAATGTACATATAATAAAAATCATGATTATTGATGTTTCTTCGCGGACTTTCTACATCGTATATCTATTGATCGATTAAATTGAGGAAACATATTTGATTATCTCCAAACGAGAAACAAATTTAGAAGATATCATTTTAACGTTTATCAATGAGTTTTATTTCAGGGGATTTGTAAGTTTAAGCTGTTAGATCGATTTGAGAAGTACAATTGATTGTTCTAGATAATCTTTTATACGAAGTAGATAAACGATCTCTTTTTCTTATCTCTTATCTCATTCGCATGATGTAAAATCGATACCAGATAACAGCGAGATCGTTTGTCCGCTGCGCTGTCCGATAGAAATTGCGTTCATCGAATGAATCTTATGTATGGTGAGCTCGTGCTGTCACTTCTACTCCGTAGGATCATCGCGTGGGGCAAAAGCTGTGAGAAAGCGTCATATCCCGTAATCGCAGCGAAATTCGCGATTCTATTAAGTGCATGTTCGTGCGGTTGATAAATCTCCCCTATTTTCTATAGGTTTCGCACAACGTGGTAAAAAGGCTATTTACAGATATCAATGGCGAATAAGAGGATTAACATTGAAATCTCTAAAAGAGTCAAGAAGACCGTATATAATATTGTATCCCAATAAATCGGCTTATATCGGCGAAGGGATCTCAACACACGCATCTTCGGAGACAATCTACTTCTAAAGTTTGCTAAAATTCTTCTTTTCGCATGTTATTTTAGCGAGAGTGTATTCGATGAACAGGTGATCCTTTTCATAAAGTGATGATGGTTTGAAGTGATGATGGCGTTATATCAATTTTATAGTTAATATTTATATACTGACGAAATATATTTTGTACAATGCTAGCTAGGGACACCGACTTTCGATAAGTGACGAAATAACATACCGTTTACGTGACAGTTTTTCTTTATGAGTACTTTTCTGCCGAGATGCATTCTTCTTGCAGTAATCAATTTACGTATATAATATCCAAATATAATTAGAAGTCTCCGAATCTGTTTAGTAAAAACTTTTCTGAGATACCCTGGGAAGAGTGAATACAAATTTCGCGCGTATGACTTGTGTACGTATCATCGCGTCAATCGTGCTCGAATGTCTAGAAAGGTTCTGTTCATCTAAAAAAACTCGATGTTGGCTACTCTTTGATGCACCGCCCGACGAACTCTTTCTTTTCGAGACGGTTTTCACGCCAGCAGCGATTCGATATTTCTCTCGATCATATGAAATATGCCGGATCGTTCTCCGCGATGGCGTGAAGCCTCGACTGTTGGCTCTTGGGCCGCTGCGGTGCAGCCCCGGTCTTCCATATGATCTCGCGGGATCTCTTACGTCACATGTAGGTCGGCTTGACCTTGTAGGCCCGCTTCCACACCTCGCACAGGCATACAGTGCTGTGGAATCTGTAAAAGATAGCCAGCGGCATCGAAACGTGGGTGATGATCGTCCATGCCCACAGGCCGTAGAAGTGCAACTGCACAGGATGCGATTCCGCTCGGGACTTTTCCAGAGTGTTGATCGCCCACATAGCTAGATTCGTCACCAGCAGAAATGTCACGATCTCCCTGCCCGGCTTTCGGCGTATCTGCTCGGCGGTGGCCACTGAGCGCCTGGACGCATCCAGGATGAAGATGGTTTGGCAGGTGGTCTGGACGACGCTGGCGAGGGCGGTGACCAGCACGAGGACTGTGTGCTTCTGCAGGGTGAAGTGACCGCCGATGATGGTAAACGTGGAATAGATAAACATGCCGGTCTGCGCGGCCACCAGGAGAATGTTGTCGAGCTCGAGATTTCTGCCGCCGTCGTAGCGCAGCTTGCGCATCTGGAACATCCCGATCAGCGTCGCCATAGTGGACATCCCGTAGAGCGTCAGCTCGCAGACGTTCACCTCGGTCACGGCGAGGCTGACCAGCTCGGGTCGCGAAATGAGGACGAAGAAGAGAATTAGGGAGATTATGGTCAGCACCAGAATCAGTATGCCCACGAAGAGGCCCTTGTGCGCGCGGGCGCAGTCCACGCTGTAATGATGAGGCGATTTCCTGTGAATAATCAAACGTTTATTCGTTAAAAATGTTTAATTCGTGAATTTTTGTGTGACGGAACACGCAATATTCTAGTGTATTTTATCACGCGTTGCTTTACATGTAAGACACACATTATTCACACTCGACTTTCCAGTGAGTCGTGCGTTAATAGAATTAGTTTGTAAACTGGGTTGTGTGTCATTTGCGTGCTCCTGCGTAGACGCGTATTGTTATTGCACCTGTGTAGGCGTGTTGTTCTGTAAGTGTGTATTTTGTCACTATACCTGTAGGCGTGTGTGTGATGACGCGAACCAGGTGGTGTCGTGGGCTGCGTGAATCCGATTTTCGATATGTTTTTCCACATGACGTATAAAATGGCCGCGCAAATCAAGCTATATTCTATCGTACATGGAAAGAGGAAGGGGCTGGCATCTTGCACCAACGATCCCATTATATTCGTTCTTCTGCATTCGAACATGTGATGGGGTCCTTTAAGACCGCGCGGGAGTCGCACGTGTTCTCCGTGATGAGAATGAGTGTGACCGCCGAGATGAAGTCCACCCTTTAAGCCTGAAAGTTCGAAAGTCAGACAACAGAATCGAATCGTGCAATCATAGCAAAATCTATAATGCATTTACCCAGTCTATGAGAAATTCTGAGAGAATTGTTCTCCGGATTATAAAAGGTGAGGATCTCGTGTTTCGTTTCCTGAACGAGAACGTTCAGCCAGACTGACAGATTCGTGCCAATCATGTGCATTAATCCAAAACGCGCTACGACGCGGTGGCGATAAACCTTCATTTGCTACAACATATGATCATATTATCATATTATTTTATTATAAATAATATTATTTTATTATCAAAATCGAAAACATAGAATTGTAATACGTATACATTTATTTTAACATATTTTTTTCACCAAATTTGCTCCTTTGTTGGTATTAACATATATATTTATAATACAGCTAAAACAAAAAGGAATTTTGCGAAATTGTACAATTTTTTCAGCGAAAATATTTTTCTTTCAGATAAAATTTTTTTTATTTGTAATTTATTTATAATTTGTAGATTCAATTAGATAAATCAATTTAATTCGATGAAAACTATATTAACAACAGGTAGCATGTTATTTTTTTACATGTCAATGGAGCACTAGAGTGCTCGGATAGTCATGTTCCGCTATTGTTTTCAGGGTTGTTCACCCTTCTGTTTCATTAACCGCGTAACCGACAAGCCCGTGTTAGCTCGATATTTCCATCAGTGGATTTTCCATCAAGTTACAACATCAAAGTTTTCCGACACAACACGTGCAGCGATTCTCAAGGAATCAATACAAAGATCTTCTATGTGAATAACATGTATATATATACAGAGATTATTTTTTCACTAAATTCTTTTTATATTAATAATAATAATTCCAATTTAATTTTAAATTTGTTTTAATACAATATTATTTTAAGATTTAATCATAAAAATATGGGATTAAAAATTGAAGATCAAAAATTGAAAAACTATACACGATAAGTAATAGTCGCTCTTGGTACTCTCGCTAAAGAAAATTCAATTTTAAATTGATCAGGGAATCTGTCATTAAAATTGAGATCGCGGGTTGCGAGAGATCTACGTATCATTTACATTCGGCGTCAGCTTACCTCATTGTTTAGGAATATGAAGTACATCTGAATGAAGATGAAGGCCATCCTCGTGGCCGGTGTGAGAGCCAGCATGATGTTGTGACACTTGGTGTTCTGTTCCAGCTCGAAATATTGGCCGAATTCCAATCCGGAATAGATCATCGAGCCGATGCCGAACGCGACAGCTCCCATTCGCAGGTAGAAGCTGCCGTAATGTTGGACCGGATGTCCCGGATGCATGTGCGGATATCCGTTCTCAGGCGTGTCGCTGTCACCGCCGGCGCCGCTCGACGATCTCGACGAATCCAGATCGCATACGTCCTTCTGCTTCTCTGCTTCGCGAAATTTGCAATTTACAACGGGCCGATTAATTCCGATTGATTAAAGTTGGGATAACGATCGCCGCCGTTTCGTTCGAAATTGGCACCGCCTCCAGTGATCGCTCCTGTTTTGGCGATCGCTGCCGGCCACGAGAAGAATTTCGACAAGGAACGGAGCGAGGTCATCGAGGTGATATATTGTATTGCGTGATCGCGGATATAGATTGATTAAAATGTAGAATGCGCCATCTGATCTCGAGTGGCTTTATCTATTTTTATGCATCTTTATACTTTTCATTGTTCGTTTGCATTTTATCAATTATTTTCTGCGAGTTTTCTCGGATCATTTTATCAATTTATCAGACACTGGAACGAGGATTGCAAACAAAATAAGTTTTTGAAACTTACTCGGTTTTGTCTTGTTGTCTCTGAACAGCATAGCATACATGTAGACCAGGAAAATCATGCTGCCAAAGTAGAGATAGAGGTAGAAAGCCTCATAGAACGACGGCGGTATGTACGTGGATATTACTTCCGCCATGGGAAAGGCGATCCCCATCACAACCAGAAGTTTCCCGTACAACGCGCTCAAAGTGGTCGCCAGGGCGTCGCTGCAGCAGAAACGGAAATTGAAGCTGAATGAATCGCGGATTCGCCTCGCGCGCGCGGATTAAATCCTTGTTCGAGGAAATAGATCCATCTCCGGCTGTGCTTTGAGGAATCACATTTCTCTTCAGTTACTTAAACACCTTGCCGTTTATTGAACTCCATCTCAATTTGAAACGTGCCGATGAGAAATTTTATCAATCCGCTCTCGTTTATAAACTTCTTTCTCGTTTATAAAAGCATTGCTTTTATCGACGAATTTAAATTAAAGAATTTAATTTTGCATCTCGGATGAATAGATATAATTTTCTTTACAATCCAAACAGTTTCATTATCATAATAATTAGTTCTATTCATTTCAATTTGGAATATTGGAAAACTTGCAGTGATTTTTTCTGATACAAGGATTCCGTGGGGATAGAGAGAGATTCTTTCTTGGCCCTGACCTAAATCAAAATATTTTATTGCAGAAATTATCGAAAATGAGAGATTGAGGACAGTCGCGCGCGCGAATGATGGATCGTTAGCTCGATGCCCATCATCGTGTAACATTACAGCGGAGGTACCATTGGCCGCAAATATAGCCACCCCCGTAAGAATTGGCTCAATTACGAGTAATCGCGTGGTCGCCTGTACGCGTGTGTTTGATTCATAAAGTACCGGTAATTGCGGTGTAGACGTCGGTCAGGATAACCTGGAAGATCACGTGAAATTTCCGTGACAACCGGCATTTCCCCTTCATATATATCTGTCGTAAATGAATTGAAGTTACGAATCTTCGCAAAACGTCCAACATAAAGTAAAATGTTCATTTTCCTCTGCAAATTTCCAGCAAATTTGTTCACAGAATTTCATTATGTAACAGTCTGTCATTAATAATAATTCTTTGTCAAATTTAAACAATTCTGTGAACAAACAATTTAAAAAATGCTCTGTTGCTTTGCGAAATTATATGTTAACGAAGCCAAGCATAATATATTAATTGCAAACCGCGAATATGTTTAAATTAAATAATCTAATTAACATTGATAACAACTAATTGCGTTACTGATGGGTAAGATGGCTTATAAAGATTGTATAAATAGTTCTCCTAATATAATGAAAGCAGCAATTAATAATTATATTTAATATTCAATTGCTGGGGAAATCAGTCGCAATTGCGAGATGGAATGTTAGGAAAACGTCCGTACCGATCAGAAGAGAGTACATCGACCTGGATGGAATGGCGAAACGCATTGATCCACTACTCACCATCCAAGGTTCTTCCACTTCCGCTCGTCGGTGACCTCGAGAAAGGTCGGCGCCGGATAGCAGACCGCCGGAATCGGTTGCGAGGAACATGGCAGGGCCAACGCGAACTGGGGTGGTCGGTGAACGCGAGAAGGTGAGCTGCTACTGTGTCTAGACAGCGTTTCCGGCGAGACGATTACCGCGGATGGCGAGGCTGGTGATGGTAGCGCGACCGGCAATCCTGGCCAGCTGTGTAGAATATATCAGTTATTTTATCTTCTTCGTCTAACTTCTTTTAAAATTATAATGGTATATCTTGCGAACTCGCATTCGTATTCCATATATTTCTTTCGTTGACACAGAAATACTCTACCTTTCGCCAAATGATTGTCTATGATAGCGCGAAGAAAGTACACAGTGAAAGAACTGTCTGAAAGAAAGGATCAAGGAGTCTCGGTTTATTAATTGATAAATAAAAGTACCAGTTCTCCTCAAAAGTTATGTTATTAGAAACAATTTTAATAGTATTTTGTTTTCCATACACAGCAGCTATACTTCAATATTTAAATAAAAAATCAATTTGCCTTTCAGGCGTGACATATACATGTCATTGATATATATTCTTTTTTACCTTTAGTATTGTACATGACGCCACGTGGGAATTGTGAGCAACTACGATCTTCCCATCAACTGCCATTAACGATTTTAATTAATTACTGAAGTCCGTTAAGAGCTCCGTAAATTGCTTTATTATTTTTTAATAGTAATGCCTTTCGTCACGTGCGACTAGGATAATTCACTTATTACGATTTTAATTTCATTATTGCGTTTATTAAACCATACACACATACACATTTTGTTCCTTTTTATATAGTCAATTACATCGGCCATCAATTAATTAATTTAGTGTTATTACTAATTAATATTGCAAATTTATTTAAAATATCGACACATAAAAAGAAAATGATTTTATGATTACCCACGCACTTTGATAATACATGATTTTTATATGAACTTACGATCGCCTGATTTAAGGTCAACGTAGTGCCATAATGTTTGACACATTACATTGACACTGGCTGCAGGAAGAGACTGACTAGTGCTGATGGCTTTGTGAGTGTCATTAGATGACGTAGCGTTGACTTTCTAACACGGGTCGTTTATTTAATAATAGTCGTAGCCGATCTATTTAACTTGACACGTGATAAAACGTCCATTTCTCGCTCTTTGCACGCACGACGATTTTTCACTTTATAAATTTACAAAAATTTGTCTAAATATTTAAGAATTTGTTCAAAGGTAATGTTAATTGCATCAATTTAATTGTCATGAAAAACTTAATATTCAATAATATATATTTCATATTTCAGAAAATTTTATTTTCGTATTAAAATAAAGATACATTATCACAATTGCTCGAATCGATTGTACATTGCCAACAAAAAATCTTATATTTATTATCTATTTATTCTTACGTTCTTATTAAATTATATTCCCTATTTCAAAAATTCCTGGCAGTACTATTCTAACACAATCATAAATTACGACAAATTTTAATGAAGGCAATTTTAGAAGAGGCTCCTGTGAATCGCTTCGATTCTTTATTGCCGCAGTTGTCATTGTAAAAATTGCGCACTTTGATATCTTTGACATGTCACCAAGGTTGTTCCGCATATTTAAGGAGATAAACGATCGGGCGTGCGACGACCTACCCCTACGATATTGGGATTCGAAAAGGGTGAAGAAAGTGAACCCCTTTTCACGAAGCGCACGGAGGCGGTGTAAAAATGTTTTACAGGAGCATCGCGATATGAAGGCGGCGATAGAAGGGTGGAAGCTCATCTTGTGCCTTCGAGCTTTTTGAAATAATCACGTAGCGTTGTGAAGCGTTGGAGCGAGAGAGGGTGTCGTTGGCCGAGGGGAGGACGCGCGGAAAGGACGAGAGAGGGCACTGAGAGGTTGATTCAGTGGTCGAGTGCCATCCCTCGTTGCGAAGGGCGATGGTATACGTGGCTTGAGGATCCGTCGCATTCCCCACCCTTTGAGATACCGTAGAGACCTTCTGCTCTTCCACCCATCGACGTCCCTCACAATCCTCAGCGCGCCTCTTCGTACCTTCTCCCTTTTTTTTGCAACTTTTTTTTCTCCACTGGATCTATTATATTATTAAAATTCTTGTCACCAAACTTTGGCACGATGCTCTGACCTGGTTTCTTTGCAGTTTTAATTTACTTAAAAAGACCGATAAAGTTTGGCGCATGTATTGATCGGTTTTATTGTACGAACGTTATCAACTTTATTCTTAATTGTCAACTGGTTTTTCTTTGCAGGAATAGAACCAGAAGAAAACAAAGTATATCGATCGTAATATATTCATTATTCTTACAAAAATTTTCTTTAAAAGTGTTATTTGCTTAAATTTTCTCATCTTCATATTTGCAGATTTATCGAATAGACGTACCTCGTGAATATTTTCACGAAGGCGGTTTTTCGCAATTTTTTTCGTAATTTTTCGCACGCTGTCGTCTATATAATTTGTCACCTCGCGATGCGATTTTCCGAGGAATATTTCTCGTACTCTGCAAAGGCGTCGGCGGCATTTCATTTGAATTCAATTGCCACGCAACCATTGTCAAAGTACATCTCTTATTCAGAAACTTGGGGACCCCAAGCAGTCCCGCGCAGTCCCTTTGAACTTTGTACTTGAGAAATTCCAGCTCGCTGGTCTTTCTCTTTTCCATCACTTTCCGCATATTATGACGGGAATTACGCTTCCGAGATGTCTGTCAGTGAAGAATATCGCTTGTCATTTCGTCGCCCTATCGCCATCTCCTATCACTCGTACATTTTTCAACACATCACTTCTCTTTTTTTATTTCGATTTATTCCACTCACACGCGGCAGCAAATTTTTGACACTCGCTCTCCGTATCTCTCTTTCAATATAAAATAAAAATATGTAATTGACATTTATAATCTTTATTTTGAAATAATTTATCAATATGTAATTAAATCGCGCTAAATTATGTACATTATGTAAAAGCTCGAAGAAACGCCTCTATACATATGTTTAAATGCAACCGATATCAAGCGCAGCGCAGCGAAATAACGGTACCTGAGGGACGTTTCCTTGATGAGCATACCCGTGACCTTGACTCGCGCTTTCCTTGATCGTCTCGACGGAACGTTGGACCTCATGAACGGCCCTCACCAACGGATGACACAATCACGGCCCTCCGGCTCGTGACACGGCACTCACGGACCCCGCATCACAAACTGAGGCCCTAACCGGGGCAGACCGGCTCTCTGACATACCGTCATATATATCGATCCTTCTCTTCGCGTATCGTTCTCCCTCTCTATCCCTTCCTGGATATGCGACCGTTTGATAGCGAGCTCGTTAGCGGTGTATCAAATTTGCAGCAACGTAACATGCCTTTACATCGCCAGCGCTTCAGCTCGGTTACGTGCCGTGAATTCGGAAAATAATCGAAAGGGAAAGTGTTTACAGGGAAAACAAAGATCAACGGGAGAATTCCGAGAGAAAACACGCAACGCACGATAGATTCGAACTATATTTACGAATATATCAGAGATAATATATACTAGGGTGAGTTGATAAAGTACAATCATGAAGACGATGATTTTGTGTGAAAAAATATGACGAAAGAAACAAACAAAAAATTTTTTCAAGTGCAATTTTATTTTGGAAACGGTCAAATAAAAAATTAGACAACTTCTAAAAACAATTAGCAATATTCTTCTTATATTTTATAAGACGTTTGAAAAAAAAATCCTAAAAAAGGTTCTAAAAAGAGCGCATAGTTAATATCGTATCGGAGATCTCAACGGGAGAATTCCGAGAGAAAACACGCAACGCACGATAGATTCGAACTATATTTACGAATATATCAGAGATAATATATACTAGGGTGAGTTGATAAAGTACAATCATGAAGACGATGATTTTGTGTGAAAAAATATGACGAAAGAAACAAACAAAAAATTTTTTCAAGTGCAATTTTATTTTGGAAACGGTCAAATAAAAAATTAGACAACTTCTAAAAACAATTAGCAATATTCTTCTTATATTTTAAGACGTTTGAAAAAAAAAAAAATCCTAAAAAAGGTTCTAAAAAGAGCGCATAGTTAATATCGTATCGGAGATCCGTATACAAGTGTTGTACTTCAATATTCACACGCTTCGACTCTTATTCCGTCTGCCTTCTGAGATCGGCGCGGCCCTCGTACATTTACTGGAAAATATTTGACGGCACTTCCCCGACCAATCCCATGTCTACCATTTTCCCATCAAGACGACAAATTCGACGATATAGATAGGAAAAAAAAAGAGATAGAAGGAGAGAGAAAGAGAGAAAAAGGTTTTTCCGTCGAAGGAGTATATGATATAAATTTCTTTTTGTCAAGCTATGCTTCTTCTGGTACCGGAAAACATTTTATTCCGGAATAAAACATGTTAGACATGTATGAAATATTTTGCAGATGTATCATGTTAAAAATAAAACATTTTTATAGTTTTTAAGTTTTATAATAACTTTTATGCAACCTATCTCTGCGAATTGATAGCGCAAGAAAAAATTTTTCTTTATTTTGCTGTTATATATATATATAACTCTATATAAATATCTCTAAAAATAGCGGAGATATTTTAAGTGTTGCAGTTAAAAGAAACATCCTGTATATAACAGGCATTATTATACTTTTTAAAATTTGTTTTCGGTAAAACATCTTGTTTGCTAAAAGTTTTCTCGTATCAAAATGCGACATGTCGAGTATGTGTTTAGGTTGATCGAATCTGCATGTAAATCGACGGAATAAGCTGCTTTCCTGATAGATTGGAGAGGAGGATTCGGAGGGTGGTGGCACGAAGGAGACTTGGCGGGAGAGGGTTAGAAAGCCTGCGAAAGGTCGAACCGGAAGCGAGAGGGAAGACATGGAGCGGAGACTGAGCGTAAGCCATAACCGAATGACAGGTCAATATTAACTCTGACGCCGACGGCCGTCGCGTGGACGTGAATTCACGTTCGATATCCGGCGGAAGTAATCGAGTTCCGCGGATGGACCGGATTTGCTCGCAAACCAGACGCACCCTGGAATTCGAGAGAGACGTGGTATTCAGGCTGATAAATCGCTCCGTTTGAGACATTGCGATATGAATAATGACAATAGATTGCGCGAACAAAGATTGCCGCATTATTGCATGAAATATGAAGGAAGCCGAGCACTTCCTTCCACTTACACAATAACAAGTTTACATATATACAAAATATAATATATATATAATATTATATTATATTGTTTTCAGTGTATAAATATTTTGCTTCCTCATAGAGGAAGCTTTGTTTTCGTGACAAAATTTATTTTCGAGTTTCTTGTGCCAATATGTTTAGAATGTTCCAAAACATCGAAAAATTATATTTTTTTTAAATGTTTGTATGTATGTATGTATGTATGTATGTATGTACGGAATGTATTGTACAACCTCTAACTTTTTCAATTTTTGAGATATCGGGTTAAATTTTTTTACTTAAATAGAGTATTATTAAAGAATGGTTAGTATTGAATTTGGCGAAGATCGGTAAAAGGGTTCATTTTTTATGAAATTTTTTGAGAAATGTCTGTACACGTTGTAACTTTCGCAAATTTTTAGATATCGAGTTAAATTTTTGAGATATCGGGTTAAATTTTTTTACATGGATAGATTATTATTAAAGGATGGTTGGTATTGAATTTGGTGAGAATCGGTGAAAGGGTTTATTTTTTATAAAATTTTGAATTTTTGAGAAATGTCTGACCACGTTGTAACTTTCGCAAATTTTGGGATATCGGGTTAAATTTGTTTACATGAATAGATTATTATTAAAGGATGGTTGGTATTGAATTTGGTGAGAATCGGTGAAAGGGTTTATTTTTTATAAAATTTTGAATTTTTGAGAAATGTCTGACCACGTTGTAACTTTCGCAAATTTTGGGATATCGGGTTAAATTTGTTTACATAAATAGAGTATTATTAAAGGATGGTTGGTATTGAATTTGATGAGGATCGATGAAAGGGTTCATTTTTTATAAAATTTTGAATTTTTTGACAAATGTCTGTACACGTTGTAACTTTCGCAAATTTTTAGATATCGAATTAAATTTTTTTACATAGGTAGAGTATTATTAAAGGATGGTTGGTATTGAATTTAGTGAGGGAAAAAATTCATTTTTTCATAAAATTTTGAATTTTTTGAGAAATGTTTGTACACGCTGTAATTTTCGCAAATTTTGAGATATCTTCCTTTATGAGGAAGCCAAAATTGAAAAACCCGCTTGCTTTAAGAAGCTTAATCTTTGTGAACAAAGTAAAATGATGAGGAAGCAATGTGCAAGTTTCGAATTTTTTTTCTTTATGGTTATAGTTTTATATAAATTATATATATGTATAAATCACATTTATTTAATCGCAATCATTGTCAATAATCGTTGACAAATGCGACAAGACAGTTTTTACATTCACATAAAAAGAATTCCCATCAAAAACGGATGTGGAATTGATGGTGCAAGAGAAATCGGCGTGTCGCTGCGAAATCGCTAAAGCGTTTTTCACGATCAGGTTTAATTGCTGGTGGTGTACAAAGTGCAGGGTCGTATGCTGGGAACCGAGGGAAATGCGCGTTAATCGCAGACGGTGATTAATGCTGCCCGTTGGGAGCGCTGGCGTTGGTCACTCCAATGAAGAAGACGTGGAGAAACGCGAGCTCTTTAGGGGAGGCTGTAATTTATGTTGCGGTGGTGCATACAAAGCGGCATACAATCGATACAAAACGGTCGAATCGACGACGACTGCTCGTTTCCTTGTAGTTTTATTTCTGTAGCGCGTCTCGAGAGAGAAAATTTTAATTATTTTTCTTTTTGTATCAATTACATTTAAATCAATCAACTGCCTAAAGATTCGAGATTGAAATCCCGCTTCAAAAACGAAACGAAATTATTCCCTTACGAAGCCGTTTATTTACGGTTTTTCTGTTCATTCACTTTTGCCTACTCCTACTCCGGCTTTCCGCCCGGAATCCCCTCAAGTGGCCCGCGAGAGTGTCGCGCGCAGATCTTTAACGATCGCGAAAATTAGGAACGAGGAGAACTGTACGAGGTAAGTTCTCGAGTGGAGAATTATGGGTTTATACGAAAGGCAATTTCTGTACTCACTCCTGCGTGAGCGTCGCAGCCGACGGTTTCCTGATTTCCGTGCTAATCGCGCCGCCGTCTGGCGTTCGAAGCGCAGCCTCCAATGCGGCTGCCTCCTCCTCCTCTCTTAACTCTTCGGAGGCTTCTTCGGGGATCGTCGTGATGTCCTCAATCGGTGGCAGATCATTCCCGTTCTCCTCCAGATGATTTTCCAGCATGGGATCGGAATTATTGTCGCCTGGTCGCGTCACTTCCTCGATATCGGAATCGATACCCTGCGGGATGTTATTGCGTTATTGTAGTTGGTATGCTGATTTCAAATTATAATTTTAAAGCATAATCTCATTTTTTCAACGAAAAATTATTTTTATAATATTTTTCATGTAAGAAATTTTGTATATATTGTGTGCATTCAAAATATTTTTATATTATATTTATAACAATAGTATACACAGGCAAATGCTAAAAGCGAAAGAAAAGATTTCGTTAAATGTAGTTTTTACGTTTGTCCGAAGTTGTTACATCTGTCTTTCCCGACATCTACAATTATTGGTAAACTCTTTGATGGCAATAAAAAATGCGCTACATTTGTCGACTACGTGACACCGCATGAGATAGGAATAAATACTTAATAAGTTCATATGTCTGGAATTGGACAGGATAAATGATTTAATCGCTTTTATCAGAACAATCAATTTTGCAGTCGTCCTACTTCCGAGGATATTGAATTTGTGATTCGGGGCATGTGACATTATTGGTGTGATATTTCAGTTATTGACACATCGCTGCGATTTAATCCGATTTTATAAGGGGTCAAATACACGCTGAGAATATCTCCCGAGAATATTTTAATAGAAATTTATCGAACTCCGACACTCGTGTCCCAGAAATTATCTCCTGTCATTCTACGTTAATTGTCAAGAACCTAAAAGACAATTTTAAAAATTTTATTACTTGTACTCGTTTTTTATGTAGATTCAGAAAATACTATATATTAAAACGAAACAATCCGTGCAGATATATTGTAACTATGCTCTTATCGTAATGATTTGTCATAAGTAGAGATGCGATTCCGAGTCACGGAACCTCTAGCCTCGTAATTCTCGTCGCGTCTTCGTCCGAAATCTTTCCGAGTAATTACCTTCAGTTACTCAAGACAGATGATTTTTAATCTACAAGACGCGCACGGCGTCTTCTCCGCATCCTCATTTCCTTCGCATACCTGAGCGAAGTCCATGTAGAAGGAGTCTCTGGAATCGGAGCTGCCTTGGCGTAGCCGGAGGCTGAGATCCGGCGAGCTCTCTCCCATCTTCCTTATCTCCTTATCTCCCTCTCGCTTTCTCACCCCCTAGGCTCAACCGCACCTCCTTTTCCTCGTTCCTTTCACCCCTCTCGAGCACCGACCCCCTCGTCTTTGTCTTCAACGAACTCCTCGCTCCTCTACGGACGGGGAATTCTAAAGAGGGTGGGCCCTCTTACGCACACAATCCACGGGATTTGCAGCCTGAAAGAATCGGTCCTTGAAAGACAGATCGCCTCAACGCCGCTGCCTCCTCTACCTGTCCTTCGCGCGAGAAGAAGAGAGGATTGCTCTCGACCGCGCGATGCAAAAATATTCCGCTGAAAAGAGTCGGTGAGTGCGCGTGATCCTCAACGACAACAACTTTCAGATCCTATATATAAAAGTCTCTCTCTTTATTCCTTCCCGAAAGACGATCGCGCGAGCACGCGTCGGGAAGTTATGACTTTTATTTCGATCTAACCCTTAGCTCGGTTATTAGTCGCCGAATATAATCTAACAATAAAATGTAGTCTGGGATATATTTGCTGAGAATTGTTTCTTAAAATTTTCTGCCCAGATATATTAATATTATTGCAAAGCTAATATAGCTTTAAGATTATCTTAAAAATTGTTATGTAAAAATATTATAGACATACTATATATTATACATTTCATAATTTTCGACGATACTTATAACATGTTTTGCACAAGAAACTTTGTCCGGCTACTGTCGGACAAGCCCGGAAGCAAACTTCGGCGCTCTTAATTACGTAAGGTAACGAGACTGATGTACAGGAATATACTTTATAAGCTCGAAACTAATTACGCCAAGTAGAAAATTAAATCTGGCTCTTTTCGCGTTAATTAACATCGTGTTCACAGCGAGATGATAATTTCAATCGAAACTGAAAAAATATAATCATGATTCACAATAATTGCTTATTGATCGTAGAGTCAGTAACTGTAAACATCCTCGAAATACACTGTATAAATTATTTTATTAATACATATAATACTCTATAAGATAAATAAGAGAGAAAGAGCAAAACCCTGTAGAGTAATCTTATTATCAAGTTAATCAAAATGCGCTGACGCGAGAGTAAAGCATGTGAAATGCATAGTACGAAGTTACAGTTTATCTTACGAGAAGCAGACTTATGTACCTAGCCACTTAGTCATGTTGTTCCCCTAAGATTTATAGGCATGCTCGCAGGGTATTGTTAGCGGAGTAACAACATACTCTATTAAGGCGCTGTTTTATGCCCGCTGAATACATAATTACTCGCGAAAGTTACCATAAAATCTGCGCGATTACGATCCACAAAATTCAAGCAACTTTGTATAATATATAATATTATATGCTAACGTTAAATTGTCATTTCTTTCACAGTCAGGAAATTGAAAAAAAGCAAGTCGTTTATACACGCGTTTATCGCGACGCTATTTATAATTATCGGTCGTATAAAATATATATGTATATGAATGACGAACAAATTAAAGCTAATTTAAACCATCCGCCGAAACTATATATTAAGTAACTCGGGAATCGTCTGTTCGCAGGGAAAAAGGGCAATGTCTCGTACCTTCAGAAGGCATATCGTCGTCCTACGGGTGATTCCAGTTCGGAGCCAAGTAAAACGCTTCCTTGCCAGGACACAGGGGCTCTAACGTCAATGAACATTCTTCCCGTTCGGCCTCGTCCCTAACGCCATTCCACGGACGGACCCTCCCGTTCTCCCAACGTTTTATGGCTCGTATACGTGGCATCGAATATTTCTCTCCATCAAAATGACCCCCTCCCCTACCCCCCCATCCCCCGCACGCATTAGAAACACTGGGCACAGCGGAAATAACGCGGGGTCAGATACGATACGTTCTGTGGATCGACCGCAGTAACGCAAATAATTTCGCGGCATGCAGAATATAATATCGAAAGTTAAATTTTATCGAGTAATGTGCGAATTTAATTACGGGAGATTAGATTACGAATTTATCAGTGATTATATTTTTGGATATTATAATAATTATAAAATCATTGATTTCGTGTTACTCGGTAAAATTTAGTTTTTAATTTCGTATCAATTATTATATATACGCTTTAGTATCATTTTTTATAGAATAAAAAATACTGATATAGATTCTTAAAAATGTTAATAGCAAAACATAATTTCAAGAAACGTTACTTCAATTTCTGGATAGAATGAGTAGCCAAATTAAAGGAGGAAACATTGTGATAATCTCAATACATGATGTGGAATAATTTATAGACATTATATATATATATATAAGTAGAACAAAAGGCGGAAGTAAATTACGCTTAAGCGAATCGATATAAAGATTCTATATTTAACAGAGTGTCAATAGTACCGTTTCTCTCTTTCTCTGGAACAATAATACAGTTGTTGTTTTCCCAGAATTCCACAGGAACGATTCCTCATCGCGTGCGGGAAAAGGTAATGTATTTTCACTGCACGTTCATGCTTGAAAACAGTTCGTTGCCTTTTTACGCTGACGCGATGTTGCGTTCCGACATTTTATCTAAACTATACGTCGTTGCTAGATGCACGCAATAAAGCACGCAACAGAATGAAAAATAAACGTCGGCAAATGATAGGACCGAGAGAGCGATCGAGCCATATCAAAACGTCGCGGCTTAATGCTTGTTAAAAAACCGGAAAAATTGCGTGCTCTGCGAGACTTATATAAAATGTCTCAAATTAAAATCCTGTCGGAATAAAATTAATTTGAGAAAATTGGTATAAATGATAAAAAATTTTTTACATTTTATCTCTTGACTTTGACGATTAATTCAAGCGCGAAAAGCTTATATCAATTATCTGAAATATCGAAATTATTAATATCGACATTTTCTCTACAAGTGACAGTTAATTTCAGATTGACCTAAAATACAAAAATACTTTTGTGCAAATTTCATCCTTCTATTTCAAGAATAGTCAGATATACCGCATCTAATCGATTTGTCATCTTATGTTATTTTGCATGCAAAATATATA